TTTATTTTTGTGCAGTGATTTATTTTAGACAAAGAACATTTTACATTTACATCCCGCCCTGAATGTATGCCGGGGGTGGGGCCCACGGCAGCACCCGCTGCTCGTTGAGAAGAGTAAGAACGATACGTGCTTTCACGTCAGAGTCTCCAAAAGTCTCCAATAACACCAGAAAAAGTTACTAGATTTGTCGCTAGTTGATTTTTTGAAAATGTGATGCTGAATACTCGCTAAATATAGCGTCAAAGTCGCTAAGTTGGCAACACTGTAGGCCACTGCCCTGTAAATTCGCAAATTCGTCACTCATTGCTTCAAGCTACACCCACCAAACGTGAGGAAACGAACCTCAAAGCCTGTTCAATAACATTTTTGGGAAACGAGTCGTTCAGTACAAACCGTTCCGCAATGTAGCAAACGTTCAAGCGAACTGAACGCACCTCTGGCACGCACAATTGACCCACCCGCTTACAGAATTCCATTAATTACTCAAAACAAAGGTGAATGTTTCGATAGCCATTGGTTGAAACGCGTGTCAGTCTAAATTAATTTTGACCAATAACTACATTCAGTGCATACATCTTCATCCCTATTGGTCTTAAAAAATGTAATAATCAAGAGTGTCCTTCTCTCATTGCTCTATGTACATGTCAATCAAGTTGTTCCACCCATATAAAGACTACCTCTTGGTTAATCATCCATTTGATTGGACAAAAACCACGGAGAGGACTGTGGCTAAATTATTCTTAAAGGTCCAAAGCAGCCGTTTTTAAGTACCTTTATACTGTGATCATGTTCAATTAAAATAGTAACATAAAAAATATATGTAGCTTCTTAGCTTTTGCTAGGACTGTCTGGGAGTGGTCTGAGTGAGGAGAGGAAAACAGAACATGAGCTGTTATTGGCAGAGAGGTTTGGAATGATCTTTTGTCTATTAACTAATTTACTGCATGGTGATGTCACCATTGAAGGCCAAAATTTGATACAATCTTGGTTTAAAAATGAGCACATAGCCTTCTGCTACAAGAGGACAATACATTATGTAGCTATCAGAAGAAACTCAGGCAGTGACAAGCAGGCCTATATGAGTTGGATTGAAGCCCCTAATTGTGTCCTGTTGTGTTGGTTGATGTCACTGGTGTGTAATATCATCTGGGATCATCAACCATATTGATTCTCTATACCATTGTCAACACAGCTATTAGTCCTAAGAGCTTCCTCAGCAAGTCTGTATCAAGCCTATGGTGTATGTGATTAATGACTATAGACCCTAGAGCAAGTGTTCCACAACATCATGGCATTGCTCTGTCTGTCTGTCCAAAAAGCTCTCTCAGCGCCCTTTTAAACTTAGTGAGCGTTTCAATCAATGTTATCACTTTAACTGGATGTTGGTGGATTGGGTATCTATAGGAACTCGTAGAGGCCTCACCTGTACCATTGATTATGAGCTATGGTTTGGCATGAATTATAAGACGGCTTCATGTAGACAAAAAAAGAGTATAACTCCTGTTGAAAATGTTCTCTTCACTTCCTCACCCCAACCTTGATAAAGGTACTTTATGTTCCTAATATGAAAAGGTATTGTCACACATCCAGGACAGCAGGAAGGTTTCTCATTGGGTGAAAACAGAAGCGGTGCTATTAGGCCCCTGTAGCTTATACGTTTTAAGGTTTGATCACTTTATAAAATTATGACAAATAAGACACTTTGAATGCAATTTATTGTGGCATAAATGTTTCCAAAAGAGCGGTACAATAAATGTTACAAAGCACTTTCAAATCTGTCTAGAGTGTGGCGTGTTTAGCAAGGTAATGCTGTTCACAGTATATACAACTGATTGATACACAACTGGAACACAATAAAACCTCCCCTAACAGGATTACATTATGTACAATAAACAGTATTTAAAGATTACAACTTAGCAATATACAAACGGGGAACAAAAGTTTATAAAAATGTTATTGTTCAAAGTTTGGCTATGACAGGCTGTTCATGCAAGAAGTAAAGCCAGGTTGCTATGAACCTCAAAATGCTCCACAAATCAAACCATTATAAGCTATAGATATTCTTTAATTCATTCAGCTACTTGAACTAAATGCAAATAAACAAGCCTATAGGCAAATTGACCTATTGGTATCTTCACTGGTATTTTGTCAAGATGACAATTCAGCTTCTTTTCAAGCAAATCTCACCTGCTGTGTTGTTAGAGCCATTGACCTGGGCCCGGTTTCCCAAAATGCTCTAGGTTTCATTTAGCTCTAAATGGCTAAGAAATCAAAATGATGCTGCCTGCCGCACTGCTCATCTGTACAGAGGACCGAGAGCCCTAAGTGGTTGGTTGTAACAGGTTTATTACAAATGTATTTTATCACAGAGGCCTGTGAAATTTATAATTTTTCAAAATATGCTTTTGGTAAACTGGGTCCTGCTCTGGTCAGATCTGCACTTCTGTCATAACATAACTGGGGTTTTTCAAAGCCGGCAAAGCTGAAGCTCAAGGTGTGCTGTGTCAAATTGCATCCCCTCAGCATGAATGCATAATCTACCCTGAAAAAGCTCTGCTAAGAGATAACCTCTGCCATTTATCATCTCAAATCGTCTGTGTGAAATAGAGTAGGGCCAGGGAAAGGGGATGATCCATACGACTCAATGGATGGCTTCGCCGTTTGCTCACAACAGAAGAACAAAATTACAGTGCTACCTCTGTACAATCAGAAGCACATTTCTTTCTGTGACCATTTCACCCCAACCCAACCCACTTTCCTTTTTACAATATTCACATAACATGATGAATACAGTACATTTTAAACAGTCCTTTAATGTATAAAAAAAGAGCAACACTGGATTGACTTAATCTCAACATACAAACACAGTAAAAATACAAACATTAAAAACTTGATCAGTCATATTTAGGCTACTCTTTATCCCCACCCCAACAGCAAAACGAAAACAAATGCATTTACAGTACCGTGACATTACACATGACATAATACCTAACAAAAAGGAAAACAGATTTCGTTACATCATGGTGTTGCTGCCTTTTCTATGGGGAAAAATATAAAAAGTAAAAAAAAAAGATAAATGTCACAGGCCTTCTGTGATAAAATACATTTGTATTAAACCTGTTACAACATTCGCTCGAGGCTTTTACAACCAACCACTTGGGTTTCTCAGTCCTCTGTACAGATGAGTGGTGTGGCAGGAAGCATCAAATTGATTTCTTAGCCATTTACAGCAAAATGAAACCTAGAGCCATAATTGAACTGATATATCTTGTGGGTCGTAATAGCTTCAAACAGGCTGTCCACTCGCCTGTCTAGAAAAGGCACTCTCTACGGGTCGGAAACTACCGGATGCATCCGGTTTTCAAGGGAAATGGAAAGAGAGCCTGTGATGAGACTTCCGTTTTGGACGTTAACAAGGCGACACTCCATCTTAACTCCTCCTCCACATTTACTGGATTGGTTCAACAGTGCAGAAGAGAACTTCTCCTGACAGTTAATTTTTCTCGTCAGGACCAGAAAGACAGAAACGCCTGCTACGTTAGGTTAACAAAACCTAAAGATGAGCAGAGGAGTTTCAAAAAGGCCTTTTAGCTGCCGACATTGTGATAAGCCTGGTAAACTAAAGGAATATAGATGTATATTGTTTCAATTTTATTTACTGCAATGTATGATACAAATACGTAAATCTATTTTGGTTTCATATTATGCATAACAATGTTTTTTCCAAATCAATAGAAATATCATAGTAAAATCTACACATGCTGTATGCTCCACGTACAGTAATAATATCAAAAGAAAAATAACTAATATGTAATACAATATGGTACTACTTTATCCAATCATAAACAGAACACAAAGTATCTCTGTCTGTGACGTTAGAAGATGGATTCCCAAGTCCTATGTAAACCTACTAACATATTGTTAATGTAATCATATGTATGCATGTACAGTAGTACACTCACTGTAAATATGTGTCTGTATCTATGCCGGAGATTACAAAATGATCTATTCCAGCAAGATTTACTTGGGTGAATTTCAGGCTATGTGGAGTGTACTGACAATTGGTTCCTATCTTCAGACATGAATGTGTTTCCTTTAGTAGTTTTATGGGATCCAAATTCCACCACCACCCAGCAACAACCTACATCTTTACAGTGTAACAAAAGTTAATAAAATCTCAGATATCAGCAAGTAACAAAAGGAAGAAAACACCCAAGACACTTGAAATGGAAGATGAATCCGAGTTGATCGGTTATCTTGCTCATGGAGGTGTAACTCAAAACAACATGATCTGATCTCATCTGATCTACTGTAGAGCAATCTCATATACATGTCCTAACTGACTCCAATACCCAATACCAGGGTTCTAGAGGCTGTCTTGACTTCCTTGTTTTGACCTCCTCTTGAGCTTATTGGACAGTCAGACGCTAACCCTCTTGTTTGATTGGCTTCAGGTTAATTAAAAAAGACTAATGATGTCGGAAGTCTGTGACTTGACTTCCCAGTAAACAAACCCCAAACAAGAAGCTTGAATAGTGTAAGAGTTAGTGTTTTGTTTCATCACGTTATCTCTGGATCCACAACTGACAAAGGAATCCTCATCCTTCGTGTTCCACGATGGGATAATATTGAGAGAAGTTGGGAGAGGAGAAGAAAGATGGAAAGGTGGATAACAAGTGAGCGGGAGAAGAAGGAGTGGAAGCAAGAGGATGTGAGAGAGAAGACAGGGTGAAAATGGATTGGTGGATGGGAGATTGGGGGACGTATGGGCCGGGGTGGTCGTGTTTACTTACAAAACTACAATTCCCACAAAGCACTGTCCGTCACTAATCTCCCGTCCATCAATCCATTTTCATTCTGTCTTCTCTCTCACATCCTCTTGCTTCAGATGTCAGGGGTCATGTCTGTGGGCAAACGCTTGGCAGAGTTTCTGTACAGGTTGATGTGCAGTCTGATGCCCACTGGGTAAGGTTTGGGGGGTATGATGGGGTAGTTTGGGGCTACTCAGATTTATGGCAGTACAGGTCTTTAAGAGCTTTCAGTTCCTCTATGAGGGTTTTGTTCTGGTTCTCCAGCACGGCAACGCGGTTCTCCAGACACTTGACATACTCCTTCTTCTTCCTGCGACACTCGCGGGCCGCCTCTCTGTGTGACAACAAGGACCAAGACACAGTCAGGGAAACCACCGGCTATTGGCTCAGCTAGCATGGGATGTTACACAGCATCTCTCTAGGTTCTTGGTTACACTTTACTTAATGCAGACAGGTGTAATGCTTTACTTGTAGCATGTATGAGCCATTATAATGTTTTACTAGAAGTCGCACAGGTCTTGGCTAAATTGAGTTCACAGTGGACCATAACTAAAGAGAACCTCACTCTGACTGTATGTCCTTACCTATTCTTCATGAGTCTGACCTCTCTCTTGCGGGTGACTTCTACCTCTGGGCCCCCCTGGCCAGACAGGGCAGGGGAGGAAGCCATGACCACCCCAGAGGCGATGGTGCTGTTGGGGACCGTGCGGATCTGGTAGGCCTGCATATCTCCAGACGCAGCTAGGGGAACAATGGAATGATACAGGAGGTCAAATATGGAGCCATGTGTTTGAAATCTACTACATTGCAGTTGTAATGTGCAGAATCACTGATAATGTGCAGAAGCAATTCTGTGCCTCTCCCTGCTCAAACTGATTCCATTCAAACACGCCGATTGTCTGTTTGTGTGTTTATCCATATCAAGAGGTAAGGCCAGTGTTTGCACTACCACTCACCTTGCACTACCACCTGGTTGCTGGGCACCAGGATCTGCTGGCCGTCTGAGGTCTGGGCGTACTGCAGGATGGTGGTGCCCTGCTGGGCGGCCGCAGTGTTGGACATGGTCAGGGTCTGCAGTCCCTGGACCGCATCTGTTCCGTTATTGGCCAACTGGATCGCACCGCCTTGGGTGATGGCGACTGGGAGAGGAGAGGGAGGTGAGAGGGACGGGGCGAGAGAGAATGAGAGAGGCAGAGGCAGAGAGAGAGAGAGATCAGAGAGAGAGATGAGAGAGAGATATGAAGAGCGAGATGGACGGATAGAGCAGAAGAGACAAGATAGAGAGAGGTGAGAGAGAGATGAGAGAGAGATCAGAGATGAGAGATGATGAGGAGAGAGAGAGAGGAGAGGTTACAGGATAGATGAGAGGAAGATAGAGAGAGAGATGAGAGAGAGTAGTATGAGAGAGAGGAGAGAGAGCATGAGTCTAGAGAGAGAGAGAGACGATCAGAAGGAGTGAGGAGAGAGATCCAGAGAGAGAAGGAGAGATGAGGAGAGAGGAGAGAGAGAGCGAGAAGAGCGGTGAGAGAGGATGAAGGCGAGAGATGAGCGAGAGAGACAGCGAGAGAGAGAGGCAGAGAGAGAGAGGAGAGAGACGGAGGAGAGAAGAGATACAGAGAGAGAGTGGAGCGAGACGGAGAGAGAGAGAGAGAGAGAGAAGAGACAGAGAGAGACAGAGAGAGAAGGAAAAGACAGTTTGTGAATAAGGTTGCAACATAAGCAACTAAAGATCTTGCTTAAACTACCCTCTTACTGTAAATAACCTCTTTGTCAGTGACATTGTTGAGTAAAAGAACAAAGGGTCAAAGGTGACGTACTGTACTGGCCACTGCTGGTCTGGTAGATGGGGCATGATGTGGGCATGGTAACCGTGGTGATGGCGGGTGCTGGGTCCTCTTCCGACTTCTCTTCCTCAATCCTGGGAACCCCCGGGGTGTCACCTGACGACAGGTCATTCAGGATCTTCCTGTTAGGGTCAGAGGTCAGGACGTTAGATAAAACACACACACAAACTAACAGTACTCACAGTACAGCATTATCACACACACACACACACATCAACGTGTACCTGTATGAGGGGCGACGTGAGAGGATCTCTCTGCGTTTCTGAGAGTCAGTCACACTGTCCACTGACTCCTGGGAGTCTTCACTCTCTGCTATGGTGGAGATCTGGAACAGTTCAATCAGGTGTGTTAGTGCTGGGCTAGTAATAATACTTGCTCTATCACAGTATATTCTTCTTGTGGCCTGTTGTGGTGGTCAGAGTTGTACCGGGGTGCAAAGTTATTGTATCTAAGCTAACGTTTTAGCTAAGGTATTTTTATCATAATGAGACAAACCTCTATAAATGAAAGGTTAGATGAAAAGGTCTACTCACCTGAACAGTCTGGACCTGTGGTGACTGTATGACAGAGGGCTGAGAGGCCTGGATGACCCCGTGAACCTGGACCGTCTGACCGTTGGGCAGCTGCACCAGGGTGACCGTAGGACCACTGGACGTGGCGTGGCCCGCTGCCATGGAAACCTGCAAAGCATAAACATAATCCTGCTGTCCAGGGGGGACACACACCTATGACTAGAACCCCCGAGTCTCTCCTAGTCTGGAAAAACTTGGGGTTTTCTGGGCCCTACTACGTACGTTTATAAAATACCTGTTTGCTACATTATTTTGTGTGTATGGGTACGTATTTCTTGTGTGTATGAGAATGAAACGGTAGCGTGAGTGATGTCAGTATGTACAGTATATTCTGTGACATCCTGCTGTCTCAGCCTGGTCATCCTACTGTCTCAGCCTGGTCATCCTACTGTCTCAGCCTGGTCATCCTACTGTGTCAGCCTGGTCATCCTGCTGTCTCAATCTGGTCATCCTACTGTCTCAGCCTGGTCATCCTACTGTCTCAGTCTGGTCATCCTACTGTCTCAGCCTGGTCATCCTGCTGTCTCAATCTGGTCATCCTACTGTCTCAGTCTGGTCATCCTACTGTCTCAGCCTGGTCATCCTACTGTCTCAGCCTGGTCATCCTACTGTCTCAGCCTGGTCATCCTACTGTCTCAGCCTGGTCATCCTGCTGTCTCAGCCTGGTCATCCTACTGTCTCAGCCTGGTCATCCTGCTGTCTCAATCTGGTCATCCTACTGTCTCAGCCTGGTCATCCTACTGTCTCAGCCTGTCTCCTACTGTTCAGCCTGGTCATCCTACTGTCTCAGCCTGGTCATCCTACTGTCTCAGCCTGGTCATCCTACTGTCTCAGCCTGGTCATCCTACTGTCTCATCCTGTCATCACTGTCTCAGCCTGGTCATCCTACTGTCTCAGCCTGGTCATCCTACTGTCTCAGCCTGGTCATCCTACTGTCTCAGCCTGGTCATCCTACTGTCTCAGCCTGGTCATCCTACTGTCTCAGCCTGGTCATCCTACTGTCTCAGCCTGGTCATCCTACTGTCTCAGCCTGGTCATCCTACTGTCTCAGCCTGGTCATCCTACTGTCTCAGCCTGGTCATCCTACTGTCTCAGCCTGGTCATCCTACTGTCTCAGCCTGGTCATCCTACTGTCTCAGTCTGGTCATCCTACTGTCTCAGTCTGGTCATCCTACTGTCTCAGTCTGGTCATCCTGCTGTCTCCTGCTTGCATCTTACATATGTCTGGCTCTCGCTGAACTCGGGGGGTAGATGACAGTCAGTGGAGGCTGGTGGGATGAGCTAGGAGGACGGGCTCATTGTAATGGCTGGAATGGAATCGATGTGGTTTCCATATGTTTGATGTGTTTGATACCGTTCCATTTTTTCCATTCCAGCCATTACAATGAGCCCGTCCTCCTATAAATCCTCCCACCAGCCTCCTCTGGTAGATGACCATATTTCTAGTACCACAGGGTCTCTCTGTGAGTCATAGATCTCTGATGTAATGTGTGTATGTGTGTGTATGGAGTGTCAGCACATTCCCTATCAGTCAGTGAGTACCGTATTTTCCTCACTATAAGGCGCACTTAAAAGCCTTTAATTTTCTCAAAAAACGACAGTGCGCCTTATAATCCGGAGCGCCTTATATATGGATCAATTGGTTAATTGGTTGATCCATACTGGTTGTACACGGCGCTCAAGGCGCTCTGTCAAAATGTTTTAGTATGAAAAACCAATAAAAACAATTTAATAATAATGAAATGTTTCAGTACGACTGGTAAACTACAAAGCCGCACCGCTTGCAGCATTACGGCTACCGTAGTCAGTAAACACCGGTACTGTGCTTACTCACAGTCCCACACCACTTGTGTGTGTATAAAGACCCCAAAATTGTTGTCAGAACGCTTAACAAAGTTTGACTTTATCTGACTGTTTTGTTGACATTCCCTTTAGCACAGCTCCATCTAGTGGATGCATAACGCAACCCCAGTCAAACGTTTGACTGCAGTATCTTCTATTCTATGCGCCTTATAATCCGGTGCACCCTATATATGAAAACAGTTCTAAAATAGGCCATTCATTGAAGGTGCGCCTTATAATCCGGTGCGCTTTATAGTGCGGAAAATACGGTATGTAGCAATTTGTAAGTCGCTTTGGATAAGAGCGTCTGCTAAATGACGAAAATGTAAATGTAAATGTAAATGTAGTAGTGTGTGGTAGATGTAGTAGTGTGTGGTAGATGTAGCAGTGTGTGGTAGACGTAGCAGTGTGTGATAAATTTAGCAGTGTGTGGTAGATGTAGTAGTGTGTGTGTAGTAGTGTGTGGTAGATGTAGCAGTGTGTGTAGTAGTGTGTGGTAGATGTAGCAGTGTGTGTGTAGTATGTAGTGTGTGTAGATGTGTAGGTGTAGTGTGTAGCAGTGTGTGTAGAGTAGCAGTGTGTGAAGTGTACAGTGTGTGGTAGACGTAGCAGTGTGTGATAATGTAACAGTGTGTGGTAGATGTAGCAGTGTGTGTAGCAGTGTGTGGTAGATGTAGTAGTGTGTGGTAGATGTAGCAGTGTGTGGTAGTGTAGCAGTGTGTGGTAGATGTAGCAGTGTGTGGTAGATGTAGTAGTGTGTGTAGTAGTGTGTGGTAGATGTAGCAGTGTGTGGTAGAGTGTGTAGTAGTGTAGCAGTGTGTGGTAGATGTAGTAGTGTGTGGTAGATGTAGCAGTGTGTGGTAGATGTAGCAGTGTGTGGTAGATGTAGCAGTGTGTGGTAAATGTAGCAGTGTGTGGTAGACGTAGCAGTGTGTGTAATGTAGCAGTGTGTGGTAGATGTATAGTGTGTGTAGCAGTGTGTGGTAGATGTAGTAGTGTGTGGTAGATGTAGCAGTGTGTGGTAGTGTAGCAGTGTGTGTAGATGTAGCAGTGTTGGTGTGTTTTGCAGTGTGTGTAGAGTAGCAGTGTGTGGTAGATGTGTAGCAGTGTGTGGTAGATGTAGCAGTGTGTGGTAGATGTAGCAGTGTGTAGGTGTAGTGTGTGGTAGATGTAGCAGTGTGTGGTAGATGTAAGTGTGTGTAGGTGAGTGTGTTAGTAGCAGTGTGTGGTAGATTAAGTGTGTGGTAGATGTGCAGTGTGTGGTAGCAGGTAGTGTGGTGGTAGATGTAGCAGTGTGTGGTAGCAGTGTGTGTGTAGCAGTGTGTGGTAGAGTGTGTGGTAGATGTAGCAGTGTGTGGTAGTAGCAGTGTGTGGTAGATGTAGCAGTGTGTGGTAGTAGTGTGTGGTAGATGTAGCAGTGTGTGGTTGTAGCAGTGTGTGGTAGATGTAGCAGTGTTGGTAGATAGGTGGGTAGATGTAGTGTTGTAAGCAGTTGGTGTTTGGTAGATGTAGAGTGTGTGGTAGATGTAGCAGTGTGTAGTAGTGGTGTACAGTGATGTGGTAAGTGTGTGTGTAGTGTAGGTGTGTGGAGTAGCAGTGGTGGAGATGTGCAGTGTGTGTAAGTAGTGTGTGGTAGAGTGTAGCAGTGTTGTGGTAGATTGTAGATGTAGCTGTTGGTAGTAGTGTGTGGTATGATGTAGCAGTGTGTGGTAGATGTAGCAGTGTGTGGTGATGTAGAGTGTGTGGTAGTGTGTGTAGATGTAGCAGTGTGGTGTGTAGCAGTGTGTGGTAGATGTAGCAGTTGGTGTGTAGTGTGTGTGGTAGTGGAGGTGTGTAGTAAGTGTGTGGTAGATGTAGATCAGTGTGTGTTAGAGTGCAGTGTGTGTGATGTAGTGGTGGTAGTGTAGCAGTGTGTGGTAGTTAGTGTGTGGTAGTAGTGTGTGTAGATGTGTGGTAGCAGGGTGTTGTGGTAGATGTAGCAGTGGTGGTATGCAGTGGTGTGGTAGATGTGTAGAGTGTGTGGGTAGAGTGTGTGGTATGTAGCAGTGTGTGTGGTAGTACAGTGTGTGGTAGAGTGTGGTAGTAGCAGTGGTGTGGTAGATGTGCAGTGTGTGTGGTGGTAATGTAGTGTGTGGGTTAGATGTAGCAGTGTGTGTGTGGAGTATAGTGTGTGGTAGATGTAGCAGTGTGTGGTAGATGTAGCAGTGTGTGGTAAGTGTGTAGTGTCAGTGGTGGTAGATGATGCAGTGTGTTGGTAGATGTAGCATGGTAGTGTCGAGTGGGTAGTGTGGTAGAGAGTGTGTTGGTAGATGTAGCAGTGTGTGGTAGTGAGTGTGTGGTAGTGTAGTAGTGGTGTGTAAGTAGCAGTGTGTGGTAGATTGTGTTGTAGTAGGTGTGGTCGGGTAAGATGTAGCAGTGTGTGGTTAAGATAGTTCAGTGTGGTAGTGTGTGTAGATGAGTATGTGAGAGCAGTGTGTGGTAGAGTAGCAGTGTGTGTAAATGTAGCAGTTGTGTGTGGTAGATGTAGTAGTGTGTGTAGAGGTTGGTAGATGTAGTGTGTTGTGGGTAGATGTAGCAGTGTGTGGTAGTGTGAGTGTGTGGTAGATGTAGCATGTGTGTAGTAGTTAGTAGTGTGTGTAGTAGATGTTAGTCAGTTGTGGTGTGTAGCAGTGTGTGGTAGATGTAGCATGTGGTGGTAGATGTAGCATGTGTGAGTGGTGGTAGATAGAGTGGTGGTAGAGTAGCAGTGTGTGTAGCAGTGTGTACAGTGTGTGGTAGTAGGTTGTAGCAGTGTGGTGTAGTAGTGTGGTGTGGTAGATGTAGCAGTGTGTGGTAGTAGTGTGTGGTAGATGTAGGTGTGTGTAGATGTAGCAGTGTGTGGTAGATGTTGTGGAGTGAGTGTGTGTAGTAGTGTGTGGTAGATGTAGCAGGTGGTAGTGTGTGGTAGATGTAGCAGTGTGTGTAGATGTGGTGTGTACAGTGTGTGGTATAATGTAGTATGTGTGGTAATGTAGCAGTGTGTGGTAGTATGTGTGGTAGATGTAGCATGTGTGGTAGTAGTGTGTGGTAGATGTAGCATGTGTGGGTAATGTAGAGGTTGTAGTAGTGTGGTGATTAGTGTGTATGTAGTGTGTGGTAGATTAGAGTGTGGGTAGTATGTGTGTAGTACGGTTGTGTGATGTAGCATGTGTGAGTAGTGTAGATTAGTGTGTGTAGTGTAGCAGTGTGTGTACAGTGTGTGTAGATAGCAGTGGTGTAGAGTGATGTGTGTAGATGTAGCAGTGTGTAGTAGTTGTGGTAGTGTACAGTGTGTGGTAGTGTAGCAGTGTGGGTAGATGTAAGCAGTGTTGTAATGTAGCAGTGTGGTAGATGTATGTTGGTAGTGAGCAGTGTGGGTAAGTGCTGTTGTAGATGTAGAGTGTGGTGTAGATGTTACAGGTGTGGTAGATGTGTGTGGAAGAGTACAGTGTGTGATAGTAGTGTGTGTAGAGTAGCATTGTGAGTATGTGGTAGTATGTTGGTAAGACTTGTAGATGTGGTATTGTGTGTGTGAACGTATTGTTAAGTGTGTGTCTGTAAGGGTAGTTTTGAATGTCATTGTTAAGGGTGATGTAAGTGTTAGTGTAGTTGTACTTGTGTATTGGAGGGAGATTGTTTAATTGTAGTACGTGAGTAATGTTACGTGGTATGATGTAAGTTGTAATGCATTTGTAGGAACGTGTTAGATTTGTAAGATTTGAGTCTGTTAAGTTGACTGTACTTTGAGCATTAAGTACATGTGGTAGAATGTGTGCGATGTAGATTTGTTAAGTGTAGTGTACAATGTGTGTAATTACATTGTGTGGTGTGTGTAGGTAGTAGTGTGTGGTAGAGTAGCAGGTGTGGGTATGTGTGTAGTGTAGCAGTGTGTGGTAGATGTAGCAGTGGTGTAGAGTGTTGGTAGATGTAGCAGTGTGTGGAGATGTAGTAGTGTGTGGTAGTGTGTGTGAGGCGTGAGTTACAGTGTGGTAGAGTAGGTGGTGGATGTAGTGTGGTAGATGTAGCAGTGTTGTATCGTTTGGGTAGTAGCTTAGTGGTGTGGTAGATGTACCGTGTGTGTAGTAGGGGTAATAGAGTGTTGGTAGTGTAGCAGTTGTGATGTAAGAGGTAGGTAGCAGTGTGTGTAGCATGTGTGTAAGAGCACTGAGTTGTGTGTGATGAGTACCAGTATGTAGCAGGGTACTAACCTGTGAGTGGTAGTAGTGATGAGGTACAGTACCAGTATGTAGCAGGGTACTAACCTGTGAGTGGTAGTAGTGATGAGGTACAGTACCAGTATGTAGCAGGGTACTAACCTGTGAGTGGTAGTAGTGATGAGGTACAGTACCAGTATGTAGCAGGGTACTAACCTGTGAGTGGGCGATCTGTTGGCTGTCTGTCTCTGACACTTCTGTGTCTCCTCCCTGCTGAACCTCTGCTGCCGACTCCATGGTCATCGACTTAGCTGTTGGAGGAAAGGGGAGCGGAGGATATTTGGGTTAGAGAAGACTTTCTGATGCATATCTTGTTATGATCAACAAGGAGAAAATCAGAGTAATGCTGATGATCATTTCAGCTGGTTTGACCTAGTTTGTATAAAGAAAATGGTAGTAGCCTTAATACTTAGTAGTATTTTCTCCAAGTAATTATTTTGAAGGATTCAACACAATTGATAGTTAACTGGTATTTGGTATTATGGTATTACCATACATTTAATGAATCTTCCTGTACAGTTCATTGGAAGGATATCAGTGGAAAGCCTCTCAACCAACTCTGTCTGTTAGCCAAGTGTTTGTTTGTGCAAATCAATATAAAACTATGACCACAGATGTCCTTCCAGTTTTTATGAATACAGTAGCTAATAACTGAAATAGAATCTGTTTATAACTGACAAAGTTGTATACGTCTTGTGTCACTTAAATGTCACTGGCAACATGATAGCTTTTACCTTCTTAGAAGTAAAGCAGGGTGAAGCCACTTCTCACGGATGTGACTGAGAGGTCAAGTGAAAGTGAATATGGCACAGTCACAGACAGAGCTCAAGGCTATTCCTGAGCTTTATCATAGTCTTCTACACTGAGTATACTTAAGCAATAAGGCCTGAGGGGGTGTGGTATATGGCCAATATACCATGGCTAAGGGCTGTTCTTAGGCAAGACGCAACGCGGAGTGCCTGGATACAGCCCTTAGCCGTGGTATATTGGCCATATACCACAAACCCCTGAGGTGCCTTATTGCTATTATAAACTGGTTACCAAGGTAATTAGTGCAGTAAAAATAAATGTTTTGTCATACCCGTGGTATATGGTCTGATATACCATGGCGGTTTGCAAATCAGCATTCAGAACACGAACCACCCAATTCATAAAAAACATTAAGATGCTTTTTCCATGACATACAGTGCCTTGCAAAAGTATTCATCCCCCTTGGCGATTTTTCCTATTTTGTTGCATTACAACCTGTAATTTAAATTTATTTTTATTTTTATTTAATGTAATGAACATTCACAAAACAGTCCAAATTGGTGAAGTGAAATGAAAAAAATAACTTATTTCAAAAAATTCTAAAAAATAAATAACGGAAAAGTGGTGCGTGCATATGTATTCACCCCCTTTGCTATGAAGCCCCTAAATAAGATCTGGTGCAACCAATTACCTTCAGAAGTCACATAATTAGTTAAATAAAGTCCACCTGTGTGTAATCTAAGTGTCACATGATCTGTCACATGATCTCAGTATACAGTTGAAGTCGGAAGTTTACATACACCTTAGCCAAATACATTTAAACCCAGTTTTTCACAATTCCTGACATTTAATCCTAGTAAAAATTCCCTGTTTTAGGTCAGTTAGGACCACCACTTTATTTTAAGAATGTGAAATGTCAGAATAATAGTAGAGAGAATGATTTATTTAATATTCCCAGTAGGTCAGAAGTTTACATACACTCAATTAGTATTTGGTAGCATTGCCTTTAAATTGTTTAACTTGGGTCAAATGTTTTGGGTAGCATTCCACAAGCTTCCCACAATAAGTTGGGTGAATGTTGGCCCATTCCTCCTGACAGAGCTGGTGTAACTGAGTCAGGTTTGTAGGCCTCCTTGCTCGCAAACGCTTTTTCAGTTCTGCCCAAAGATTTTCTAAAGGATTGAGGTCAGGGCTTTGTGATGGCCACTCCAATACCTTGACTTTGTTGTCCTTAAGCCATTTTGCCACAACTTTGGAAGTATGATTGGGGTCATTGTCCATTTGGAAGACCCATTTGTGACCAAGCTTTCACTTCCTGACTGATGTCTTGAGATGTTGCTTCAATATATCCACATAATTTTCCTTCCTCATGATGCCATCTATTTTGTGAAGTGCACCAGTCCCTCCTGCAGCAAAGCACCCCCACAGCATGATGCTGCCACCCCCGTGCTTCACGGTTGGGATGGTTTTCTTCGGCTTGCAAGCCACACCCTTTTTCCTCCAAACATAACGATGGTCATTATGGCCAAACAGTTCTATTTTTGTTTCATCAGACCAGAGGACATTTCTCCAAAAAGTACGATCTTTGTCCCCATGTGCAGTTGCAAACCGTAGTCTGGCTTTTTTATGGCAGTTTTGGAGCAGTGGCTTCTTCCTTGCTGAGAGGCCTTTCAGGTGATGTCGATATAAGACTCATTTTACTGTGGATATACAGTGGGGGAAAAAAAGTATTTAGTCAGCCACCAATTGTGCATGTTCTCCCACTTAAAAAGATGAGAGAGGCCTGTAATTTTCAGCATAGGTACACGTCAACTATGACAGACAAAATGAGAAAAAAATATCCAGAAAATCACATTGTAGGATTTTTTATGAATTTATTTGCAAATTATGGTGGAAAATAAGTATTTGGTCAATAACAAAAGTTTCTCAATACTTTGTTATATACCCTTTGTTGGCAATGACACAGGTCAAACGTTTTCTGTAAGTCTTCACAAGGTTTTCACACACTGTTGCTGGTATTTTGGCTCATTCCTCCATGCAGATCTCCTCTAGAGCAGTGATGTTTTGGGGCTGTCGCTGGGCAACACAGACTTTCAACTCCCTCCAAAGATTTTCTATGGGGTTGAGATCTGGAGACTGGCTAGGCCACTCCAGGACCTTGAAATGCTTCTTACGAAGCCACTCCTTCGTTGCCCGGGCGGTGTGTTTGGGATCATTGTCATGCTGAAAGACCCAGCCACGTTTCATCTTCAATGCCCTTGCTGATGGAAGGAGGTTTTCACTCAAAATCTCACGATACATGGCTCCATTCATTCTTTCCTTTACACGGATCAGTCGTCCTGGTCCCTTTGCAGAAAAACAGCCCCAAAGCATGATGTTTCCACCCCCATGCTTCACAGTAGGTATGGTGTTCTTTGGATGCAACTCAGCATTCTTTGTCCTCCAAACACGACGAGTTGAGTTTTTACCAAAAAGTTATATTTTGGTTTCATCTGACCATATGACATCCTCCCAATCCTCTTCTGGATCATCCAAATGCACTCTAGCAAACTTCAGACGGGCCTGGACATGTACTGGCTTAAGCAGGGGGACACGTCTGGCAGTGCAGGATTTGAGTCCCTGGCGGCGTAGTGTGCTACTGATGGTAGGCTTTGTTACTTTGGTCCCAGCTCTCTGCAGGTCATTCACTAGGTCCCCCCGTGTGGTTCTGGGATTTTTGCTCACCGTTCTTGTGATCATTTTGACCCCACGGGGTGAGATCTTGCGTGGAGCCCCAGATCGAGGGAGATTATCAGTGGTCTTGTATGTCTTCCATTTCCTAATAATTGCTCCCACAGTTGATTTCTTCAAACCAAGCTGCTTACCTATTGCAGATTCAGTCTTCCCAGCCTGGTGCAGGTCTACAATTTTGTTTCTGGTGTCCTTTGACAGCTCTTTGGTCTTGGCCATAGTGGAGTTTGGAGTGTGACTGTTTGAGGTTGTGGACAGGTGTCTTTTATACTGATAACAAGTTCAAACAGGTGCCATTAATACAGGTAATGAGTGGAGGACAGAGGAGCCTCTTAAAGAAGAAGTTACAGGTCTGTGAGAGCCAGAAATCTTGCTTGTTTGTGGGTGACCAAATACTTATTTTCCACCATAATTTGCAAATAGATTCATTAAAAATCCTACAATGTGATTTTCTGGATTTTTTTTCTCATTTTGTCTGTCATAGTTGACGTGTACCTATGATGAAAATTACAGGCCTCTCTCATCTTTTTAAGTGGGAGAACTTGCACAATTGGTGGCTGACTAAATACTTTTTTCCCCCACTGTAGATACTTTTGTACCTGCTTCCTCCAGCATCTTCACAAGGTCCTTTGCTGTTGTTCTGGGATTGATTTGCACTTTTCGCACCAAAGTACGTTAATCTCTAGGAGACAGAACGCGTCTCCTTCCTGAGCGGTATGACGGCTCCGTGGACCCATGGTGTTTATACTTGCGTACTATTGTTTGTACAGATGAACGTGGTACCTTCAGGCATTTGGAAATTGCTCCCAAGGATGAACCAGACTTGTAGAGGTCTACAATTCTTTTGCTGAGGTCTTGGCTGATTTCTTTTGATTTTCCAATGATGTCATGCAAAGAGGAACTGAGTTTGAAGGTAGGCCTTGAAATACATCCACAGGTACACCTCCGATTGACTCAAATGATGTCAATTAGCCTATCAGAAGCTTCTAAAGCCATGACACCATTTTCTGGAATTTTCCAAGCTGTTTAAAGGCACAGTCAACTTAGTGTATGTAAACTTCTGACCCACTGGAATTGTGATACAGTGAATTACAAGTGAAATAATCTGTCTGTAAACAATTGCTGGAAAAATTACTTGTGTCATGCACAAAGTAGATGTCCTAACCGACTTGCCAATACATTTGTGGAGTGGTTGAAAAACAAGTTTTAATGACTCCAACCTAAGTGTCTGTAAACTTCCGACTTCAACTGTATATACAGTGAGGGAAAAAAGTATTTGATCCCCTGCTGATTTTGTACGTTTGCCCACTGACAAGACATGATCAGTGTATAATTTTAATGGTAGGTTTATTTGAACAGTGAGAGACAGAATAACAACAAAAAAATCCAGAAAAACACGTCAAAAATGTTATAAATTGATTTGCATTTTAATGAGGGAAATAAGTATTTGACCCCTCTGCAAAACATGACTTAGTACTTGGTGGCAAATCCCTTGTTGGCAATCACAGAGGTCAGACGTTTCTTGTAGTTGGCCACCAGGTTTGCACACATCTCAGGAGGGATTTTGTTCCACTCCTCTTTGCAGATCTTCTCCAAGTCATTAAGGTTTCGAGGCTGAAATTTTGGCAACTCGAACCTTCAGCTCCCTCCACAGATTTTCTATGGGATTAAGGTCTGGTAGACTGGCTAGGTCACTCCAGGACCTTAATTTGCTTCTTCTTGAGCCACTCCTTTGTTGCCTTGGCCGTGTGTTTTGGGTCATTGTCATGCTG